GCACCATTCTCCTCCCTCAAACAAAGGGGGAGAGGGGCTCATGATGGGGTGGTTCTGCATTGGGTGTTTGTAGGCTGGGGGGGGGGGGGGAACCTGTGAAATGACTGAGGTGAACACAAAAAACATTCCCAAATATTTTCAGTATGTTTTTGGTAAAAGTAGTTAGAAAATTAAAGGCTAGGAGTTTTGAGAACATTTTTCTTTGCAGAGAGAAAGAGACTGCTAGCCAGTGAGGTAAGAGGGCCTGGCCCACATGTCCTCAAGCTCAAACAGGTCTAGGGAAGCTGCCTCAGTGCCTCACGTCATCCTGCATGCACACCATTGGGCTGAAGCAACAGGGCCCCTTTACAATGGACCCAGGTGGGGAACCTGTTGTCTTCTGGCCACGTGTAGCTTTCTAGGTCCTCAAGTGTGGCCCTTTGACTGAGTCCAAGTTGTAGAGAACTTCCCCTCTTATTTGGGGATACCACCCCTATAGTAGACTTTTTGTTGGTATGCTATGTTTCTATAGCTTTCTTACTCACAATATTATGTTTAACAGTTAAAAGAGCAGAAGAAATACTTGTCCATCTAGCTGTGCAACCCAAACAAGGAACCAGATAAACCAGGAGGCCAGTGGGTCGACTGTACAGCTCCTCGTCATCTGCTCTTTTCTTCGGTCTTCGTGTTTAAGAGGTACAATCCTCACCTCCATCTGGACCCATCTTTTCTTTGGAAAGTCTGTGCCACCATCAGGGGCTATTTGGGGGAATTCTAGCCTGTGCCTTTGTCCTTGGGGGGAGGGGAGTCACAGTCAGGCCCCTACTGCCTTTGAGGGCAGGGAGGCTCATGGCCTGGGTCTTCTGAGCCATCATTGGGGAGCTCCAGCCTGTGCCTCTAGCATCTGGAAATCAGTCTGCCTCCACTTGGAGCCAGCTTTCATCTGAGGAAATGACCACTTAGGCCTCTGCTACATTTGGGGAATCACCACCCATGACTCCATCTTTTCATTCGGGGAATTACCACTCCTCATTCCATCTTTCATTTGGGGAAGTCCACATTCCTGGTGCCTATACCTCATTTGGGGAATTACTATTTGTGCCTTTGCCTCATTTTGAGACTCATCCCTCCACGCCTCCATCTTTTACTTACGGAAATCACCTATCTGTGCCTCTGTTTTTCATTTGGAGAATCACTGCCCATGTTTCTAACTCCTTTTGGAAATTACAGCCCGTGCCTCCATGACTGTGGGAATTACTGCCTCTGCCTGCATTGTGGTCTGGGGGAAGTACCGCCTGTGCCTCCCATTACGCAGAGATATATGGTCTATGTCTGTTGCCTTCTGAGAATTACCTCCTGTGCCTACCCCTGCAGCCATCTTTTTGGAATTAATGCCGGTGCCTGTTACCACTTTCTGGGAATTAATACTTGGGCCTGCATCATATTTTTGGGAATTACCATCTGTGCCTGCATCTTTTCAGAGGGAGCCACAGCCTGTATATTGGTCCTTGGGGGGAGGGGAGCTACAGT